GAGGCAACACGACACGGCAGGCAGTTTGAAAATAACAATTTATTTGAGCACACACAGAAACCTTTACAGAACTGAGAGAGATTGCTTGGAACAGCAACTATGTTTAAACTGAAAAACAAAACGAGACTAAACGAGAGAAACTAAAAGAGGACACCAAAAAGGTGTTAATTAAGGACTGGCTTAAAAACAAACAGACTAGCAAACTGAAAAAAAACGCTAGCTCTACGCACGGGCAGGTGGGCTAAGCAAACCGAAGAAAAAGAACTAAAAAGCTAGTGGACCAAAGGCTAACAATGAGCTAGCGTAAAGCGCCGACGGGCGAACTAAATACAGGACGAGGAGAACAGACTTACGGACTGGCTGACAAACGGGAGTAAATAAATCTAGCGGGACATACGGACTGATGACGTTAAACCTACACAGTGAATCTGACCTGACAGAACCGACAGAGAGGAGAAGGGAAGCAGGGTGGTGAATGGGGGAGCGGAGCGGCTGCGGTGGAGCGGCTGCCGACGACCGGGGGCGGACGCCAGGGAGCTTCGGGAGGGAGAGGTGGACGGAGCTGGTGTCCGGGCTGACGGGTGGGATAGAGCGGGCAGGTGACTGGTGGTGAATCCGGTGGCTGGTGGCTGCGTCGCCGGCTGACGGAGGTGCTGGTTGTCGGTGGGAGATGATCCGGGCTGTAGACGGAAAGACACGGTTAGAGCGAGACTGGCAAGAGAAAGGAGCTGGGAATAAACAATCGTGGTCATGAACTGACTAGGGACTGTTTACGGTCCGGCGACGAATCGTGGTCTGGTCGAGGCTAAAAAGCTGGTCTCATGATGAGACACAGCTGCGGCAAACACACACCAGTGTAATCAGTGGATTGCGATCACCTGCCCGCTCTCTTCATGCAGATCACCAGCTCACGCCCACCTAATCAGAAAGGGAGAGAAAGAAGGAAAGGAGCGAGGGAGAGAGAGAGAGCGAGAGCACTGCCGCTACCTGACTCCAGCGGCAGCGGGCGTGACATTAACTTCTAGCTGGATGGTGGGCAGAGCCTGAAATGGAGGGACTCCTGTGATCGACTAAATGCTAACCAACCCATGCCAGCCACCAGAGGCCTGTACTACGAAGCAGGATTTGGGGTTATCGAGGTAACTTCAGGTTAAATCCTGGGTTTTCGGTGAAACGACAGTCGTTCACTTCTTAGATCACCATGGTAACTTATGCTGAACAGCTAACCTCCTCCGCAGCAGGTTATGTTGGAGATCGAGATCACTGGGTATAAAAACACAGCCCACTGAAAATCAGTTCTCTCCTATAAAACATCAGAAGGAGTAGAAAACGAAGCAGTTCTCAACAAAATGGCATCACGGGCATTTCTAGAAGACCCATTA